TCAGGTAGTTCAACTCTTAAGATCTCCGTAGATGTACCACTGAGGAATAGAGCTCTGAATGATATTAAAGCTAAATTCCCTGCTTTGAATAACGATACTATCTACCCAACGCATCTTCTGCTTTTTGAGGTTGATGACTTATACTCCGAAGTTGTGAGTTTAATCATTTGATTGTAATTCCTTTATCAAATACATTGCATACCACTAGTTTATTAGTGACTATAATGGAACAATTGCTCAGCTAGTACTAGCAACCAATGGCAGATACACGTTTGGTATTGTTCTAATTGTGCATGTGTACTTTGATAACAGCACATTCACTGGATCATATAATGATGATTTTTCAGAGCTCTTGGTTGAATATCCATTTGCAGCAAATGGGGGCTACCTCAGTTCTAGTGCAGCCACAGAATCTAATGTTGACACTCCTGGAAAATATATCATTGATTTCAACAGTAAGACATAATGTCACTGCATATACTGACTATTAATAATGCATTCTATATACCATTTCTGATTTCAGATGCCCTTCCTCCACCTCCTGTCTGCCAATGTAAGAAAAGGTTGGAGGCTCTTGCATGTCATACAATGAAACAGATGTCTGGAAACATTCCGTCATTTTGCAGTAAATATATGTAGAAACTAGACTTTGTTGCTTGCTCAGTTTATGTCTTGTCAAATTAGAGTGACTTTTAATGACAGATTAGAATATTGCAACTTTCACCCTCAAGCTTAGTAAATTCTTCTGAAATTAAATAATTTGATAGTAAATTATTGCTACACATTAACTAGTCAGTTACCTCCAGAGGCGTGGCTTAAGATGAGTATTGACAACTGCGGAATCACTAAAATATCCATCCAACCTAATGGGTGTGTCAGTTTAAGAGAAATGGGGAGTACTGGACACCTCCCACCCGAACTATTGGCATTCAACCAACTCTCATACATGTACATGCATTTTAGCTCTCATATTGAGTAGTATCCTTGCCATAGACTATAAATTTCTTTAATAGAGTAAATTCACTCTATTATCTATGGTATAGCCAACCCATACACTATCATGTACTTTATGAGAAATGACAGTAGATATATAGTACTACAAAATTTACCACAAAAATACCACAAATATTACTGTTACTCCTCTTCACACTATAGCTATTACAAGTCTGCATTGGCAATATTGAAGTTCATGAAATGCAATAGTGTCATGTACACGTCTTGTCCCACCCAGTCTATTGCAGGTTATTTCAAAGCAACTATACTGATCTGTTGCAATAAATTGGTATTGTGGCATTAGAGAGGGGCAGAGAGCAGGAAATGTCAGTGGTAAGTCATGCTGTGTAATCTGGACATTTTGTATAAGTATTTTTAGTTTTTAAAGCTGTTTTTGATATTTAGCATAAGTGGCTCCAGCTTTAGTCTTGATACAGATGACTTTTATCAGGACTCTTCTGCTACTAATCTAGTAGAAGTAAGTTCTGGGAGCTCTTTTCCTGATCTCAGCCTCCCTTTGACAATTACTAATATCAAAGGTCTTCCTAATGACTCTGCACTTGTAGAAGCTTCAGTGAGTAGCTCTATGCTATGATTTTAATATGTTTGTCTCATTTTCTCTTTTTTAAAGATCACTGGTGGCCTCTTGTCTCTAAGCCCACCTACCTATAACATTGGCTTGCAGAGGCGTACTGCTTCTGCAGGTTATTCAGGTAGTTCAACTCTTAAGATCTCCGTAGATGTACCACTGAGGAATAGAGCTCTGAATGATATTAAAGCTAAATTCCCTGCTTTGAATAACGATACTATCTACCCAACGCATCTTCTGCTTTTTGAGGTTGATGACTTATACTCCGAAGTTGTGAGTTTAATCATTTGATTGTAATTCCTTTATCAAATACATTGCATACCACTAGTTTATTAGTGACTATAATGGAACAATTGCTCAGCTAGTACTAGC